ATCTAACCCCGTGCTGTCCCTGTCCTGGGAGTGTTTGATGGGGGACAATGTAGAGGTAGCTTTACTCTGTATCTAACCCCGTGCTGTCCCTGTCCTGTGAGTATTTGATTGGGGACAGTTTCAAGGGGGCTTTACTCTGTATCTTCATCCTATGAGTTTTAACCTTACAATGAAATCCATTTTCTGAATGTCATCTTGTCTTCTGTGAGTTTTGCCTGTTTTAAGAATTATACCTGTCCTGCAGTGAAGGAATCAAGCATCACAGAATTGTTATGGCTCTAAAGGGTCAATGGGTCTGAACTAGTCCAGGCACAATGGACCGAATGGACTCTATCTGCCCCCTGGAATGATAGATACTCTGAGATCATAACTCCCTTTAAAGGAAGTTCTTTCAATGATGGACTTGGTGGTTTGTGGAACAATTTGTGTGAAATACTTGGCGTTTTCCAGATATTTCATAGCATTAAGTGTTTAATTGGACTATTCATCTGTAAAAAGCTTTTGACTCGAAAATTAGAGAAGTGGCACAGTTGTTAAATAAGAACAGATTAAAATGTTTTACCTGCAGCGTATTATATGAACACATAAATGTAGAATGTATAATTAACCAGTGATTGCATCTGTCTAACTGGCAGCTTTAAGATGTTTAATCTCTCTTACAGAATGGGATTGGAGAACTAAAGCAAGACTTGCTCCTGTCACACACATTTCACGGAGAAACTGAAAACAGGCACATTCAGGCATTAATTCATGATGTGGGGGGTGGGAATGTCCTGTCCTGGCACTTCCCACCCCTTGTTAAGCTCTCAGACTCAACATAAATTGGCCTGCAATGGCACCTGAGCTATCCCAGAAGACCTTGCAGCCACGAAAGACCCCTATTCAAATGACAGCACCTGGACGTGGGACACCGAGGTTGGTGCATTCAGGTCATTGTCACATTGCTATTTGTGGGATCTTGCTGTGCACAGATGAGCTTCTTTCAATTGTAAATGAACATCACTAGTAAGACCAGCATCCCGAATTGCTCTGGAACTGAGTGGCTCATTCCAGGGGGTAAGTTTGTAGCCCCAGACTGGGTAAGCGTGGCAGAGTTAACTTCCTTAAAAGAAAACTAATGAACCTAATGGGTTTTTACAACAAAAGTGACAATTTTCTCATAATGGCCATTCCTGACCTTTTCCCGTAATGAAGCAAAGAATTGCGGATGCTGGAGATCCGAAACGAAAACTGAAAGTGCTGGAGAAACTCAGTAGGTCTGGCAGCATCTGTGAAGCCAGTCCTGAAAGAAGGCTCACTGGACCTGAAACGTGCACACTGTTCCTCTCTCCACAGATGCGACCAGACCTGTTGAGTTTCTCCAGCACTTTTTGAATTTTACTGATTGAATTTAAACTCCAGGGTCGGATTTGAACCCATGCTCCCCCAATCTATAGCCTGGGTGCCTGGATGACTCTTAGTGATACTAATACCACTCCACTACAACGTTCCCTATGTTATCACAGTGTCTACATTTCAAAAGTACACCATTGGCTGTTAAACTCATTCACTGGAAGGTGATAAAAGGTACTGGAGAAATGCAATTCTATCTTTGTTCTCACCTCCTTTTCTACAGCCAGTCCTCTCGTTCGTCAGCAATAATTGACCAGTGTCACTCAGTTTGGGATCAGTCTAGCAGTCTGATGGAATACTCCCCACTTGCCCTGGATGGGGGCAGCCCCAACAACACTCAAGAAGCTCGACACCATCCAGGACAAAGCAGCCCCCGCTCGATTGGCACCGCATCCACAAACATCCCACTCCCTCCCCCACCGACTCAGTAGCAGCTGTGTCTACCATCTACAAGATGCGCTGCAGAAATTCACCAAAGATCCTCAGGCAGCACCTTCCAAACCCACGGCCACTTCCACCTAGAAGGACAAGGGGCAGCAGATACATGGGAACACCAGCCCCCTGCAAGTTCCCCTCCGAGCCCCTCACCATCCTGACATGGAAACATATCGCCGTTCCTTCAGTGTCACTGGGTCAAAATCCTGGAATTCCCTCCCTAAGGGGCATTGTGGCTCAACCTACAGCACATGGACTGCAGCAGTTCAAGAAGGCAGCTCAACCCCCACCTTCTCAAGGGGGGCAACTAGGGACGGGGTAATAAATACTGGGCCCAGCCAGTTACACCCACATCCCGAAAATAAATTTTAAAATATCAGTAATCCCAAATCAGAATCTGAGAAAGTTCTGAGGGAGACACAGAGTCCAGGATATAAGAGAGAGCTCAACACATGCCCCTGAACTGGAACATCCACCATCTTTCCCTGGTCGTCAACCTCATCCTTCCCTCACAATGCAATCTTCATCACCCCTGCCCACCCAACATCCCTCATCCCATCTGCCAAACCCTCCATCTCACTCCCTGCAGGGAGTCCAGATCCTCCAGCAAGGGGTAAAAGATGCTCATGAGGAAAGTCTCCAGATCCCGGGACTACTTCTAAACAGGTTAAGAATGATTCTTAACCAGCTAACAGCTACCTAGAATACACCTCATCTCATCCACCTTCCTGCAAAAAGGCCATCCCCTATTCCCAATTCCTTCGCCTCCACCGCATCTGCTCCCGAGATGAGGTATTCCACTCCCAGACATCCCAGATGTCCTTGTTTTTCAAGGACCGCAACTTCCCCTCCACAGTGGTCGAAAATGCCCTTGACCGTGTCTCTCGCATTTCCCGCAACTCATCCCTCACACCCCCTCCCCGCAATAACAACCAAAACAGAGTCCCCCTCGTCCTCATGTACCACCCCACCAACCTCCGGATCCAACGCATCATCCTCCGGCACTTCCGCCATCTGCAATCCGACCCCACCACCAAAGACATTTTTCCCTCCACACCCTTATCTGCTTGTCCGCTCCACACTCCCCTCCAGCCCCACCACACCCGGCACTTTTCCCTGCAACCGCAGGAAGTGCTACACCTGCCCCTACACCTCCCCCCTCACCCCCATCCCAGGCCCTAAGAAGACCTTCCACATCAAACAGATGTTCACCTGCACATCTGCTAATGTGGTATGCTGCATCCGCTATTCCCGTTGTAGCCTCCTCTACATCGGGGAAACCAAGTGGAGGCTCGGGGACTGCGTTGTGGAACACCTACGCTCGGTTCGCAATAAACAACTATAGCTCCCAGTCACGAACCATTTCAACTCCCCCTCCCACTCCTTGGACGACATGTCCATCCTGGGCCTCCTGCATTGCCACAATGACGCCACCCGAAAGCTGCAGGAACAGCAACTCATATTTCGCTTGGGAACCCTGCAAGCCCAAGGGTATCAATGTAGACTTCACAAGCTTCAAAATCTCTCCTCCCCCTACCGCATCCCAAAACCAGCCCAGCTCGTCCCCACCTCCCTAACCATTCCTCCCACCTCAAGCCCCACCCCCATCTCCTATCCACTAACCTCATCCTGCCCCCTTGACCTGTCCGTCCTCCCTGGACCGACCTATCCCCTCCCTAACTCCCCACCTACACTCACCTTTACTGGCTCCATCCCCGCCTCTTTGACCTGTCTGTCTCCTCTCCACCTAGCTTCTCCTTTATTCATCTTCTATCCACCTCCCCCTCTCTCCCTATTTATTTCAGAATCCATTTCTGAAGAAGGGTCCCGACCCGAAACGTCAGCTTTCCTGCTCCTCTGATGCTGCTTGGCCTGCTGTGTTCATCCAGCTCTACGCCTTGTTATCTCAGATTCTCCAGCATCGGCAGTTTCTACTATCTCTCTAAGAATGATTCAACTGGGTTTCTTGTGAAGTGTAAGAATATAGTGGGGCTGGGAGGAATACTTCTTCAGATTGGGGAACCCATGGTTCAAAACCTTAGACGATTGTGTGGTTCAGAGAAACATCTGAAAGGATTCTCCTGATGGATATAGGTAGAGGGACGGATTGGGAATGGGAGAAAGAGAGAGAGAGGCAGAGGTAGAGAGAGATTAAGGGATTGAAGACGGAGACAGGGTGGGTAGGATTGGAAGTATCGTGAGAGAGACAGAGAGAGAGAGAGATTGAGAGATTGGAAATGGAGGGAAAGAAAACTGAGCGCTTAGTGATGGAGATTGACGGAGAGAGAGAGAGAGGGTTTGAAGTTGCAAGTCAGTAAAGACAGTGATTTGAAATGGAGAGTTGGAGAGATTGAAGATTGAAGAAGAAAAGATTGAGTGATTGAGGGACTGGATTAAAGGGAGAGAAGCACTGAGGGTTTAGCTGAGTAGACAGCGTGTGTTTGGAATTGGAAGTTTGGAAATACAGGGATTGGAGATGCGGGGGGGGAGATAGAGAGATGGTAGAGGTTGGAAATGGCTGGAGGAGGACATTGAGGAGAAGAAGATGGAGGGAGAGACATTCAGATTGGGGAGCCCATGGTTCAAAACCTTGGACGATTGTGCAGTTCAGAGAAATACCTGAAAGGATTCTCCTGACTGGGGGAATGATGGAGTCAATTTTGTAATGGGAATTGGTGGGAAATTTATCTGGGAATGTTATCCCCAGTTGCTGCAATCCCACCCACAGCTCAGCACAAACTTTGTGATGGTCAAAGAAATAAACTTTTACTCCAGCAAAGTTCAACTTAGAAAGAAATTGCACAAGCAGCAACAGAATGCACCATCAGTTTGGAAAAAAAAGGGCAATTTGTGTCTGAACATTGTTTGCAGGCTATTAATTCACTTGAAAAATGTTATTTCTCGTCTCATTTTTCCAACAACGTGTCCCAAAGGCTTGCAAAACATGAGAATGATAATTGTATCAGCTTCACAACTAAAGATAGATTAATTATATTCCAGCAGGCTACAGATCCCAGGTGTCATTTTCAAAGCAGCGCTACTTATGGGATCTCAATGTTCATTTGGGGAAATCGTACGAAAGTGATCAGAAAACAAACCACACAAGAAACCTGAATGAAATTAACAAAAAAATACAGCACTGTCACTAAGAATCATAGAATCATACAGTACAAAGAGTCTTTCAGCCCATCAAAGCTATATTAAATCTACACTAAGTCACATTTTCCTGCACTTGGCCCATAGTCTAATATGTTGTATTCAAGATGGAGGCAGGGAGAGACTGAGAGGTTGGAGATGGTGGCAGGGAGAGGGAGGGAGTGGAAATGGCAGAGAGAAGAGAGGTTGAGAGATTAGAGATGGAATTGAGAGAGAGAGAGAGAGATGGAGACACTGCAGGATTTGAAAGGGAGGCAAGAGAGGGGGGGATTGGAAGTTGAGGGAGAGAGAGGGATTGAAAGATTAGAGATGGAGGTAGAGAGAGATTGAGGGATTGGAGATGGACGCAGGTAGAGGGAAGGAGTGGGAATGGGAGAGAGAGATATCAAAGGATTAGAGGCAGAGGTAGAGAAAGATTAAGGGATTGAAGATGGAGACAAGGAGGGTGGGATTGGAAATAACAGGAGAGAGGGAGAGATTGAGAGATTGGAAATGGAGGGAGAGAAAACTGAGGGCTTGGTGATGGAGATTTACAGAGAGAGAGAGAGGCTTGGATTTGGAAGTCAGGAAAGACAGTGATTTGAAATGGAGGAGAGAGAGTTGGAGAGATTGAAGATTGTAGAAAAAAAGATTGAGGGATTGGAGATAGAGGGAGAGAAACACTGAGGGATTAGCTTTGGAGATGGGTAGAGAGAGTGTGTTTGGAGTTGCAAGTTTGGAAAAACAGGGACTGGAGATGGTGGGAGGGAGACAGACAGATGGTAGTGGTTGGAAATGGCTGGAGGAGGACATGGAGGGGAAGAAGATGGAGGGAGAGAGTCTCAGAACCTGGAGTGAGAGACAGAGACAGATGGTGTGGTCTCTGTTCCCACAGTTTGTTGATGTTGGTAGATAAGCCTGAAAGAAGACAATTTCACTTTAAGAGTCTGGCACCATTCCCTCCTCAGTGGGATACTTCCTCTGAGAATTTGGACTTTAAGTGTAATCACATTGTGAGAGATTTATTGCTGTGATAACAACTCAGCTTACAAAAAGGACTTTCACGAAGGTAGGGAAGAGGGAGCAGCATTTGCAACTGGTCACCTGGTTAAATTGGCAGTTAACTGTCGGAGAGTAAACTAACAGCTACTGTTCACATCAATCCTGTTTGAAGTGGCTGAGAGAATAAAGTAACTGAGACTCACTGAGTGCAAATGGAAATGATCTTTGTGTCTGACAGTGAGAGCCTGCAACCTATCGTATTAAAACAATGTCCCACCTCACTGACCAATCCACACGCCACCTCTCTCTATTTATTTCTGACCTCCCTTCCCCGTCCCCATTTCTAAAGAAGGGTCCAGACCCGAAACATCAGCTTTCCTGCTCCTCTGATGCTGCCTGGCCTGCTGTGTTCATCCAGCTCCACACTGTGTTATCTCTAGCCTAGTTTGGGATTATGTTCAGCAGGGACGGGTTGGATCGAAGGGTCTGTTTCCATGTTGTGTGACTCTATGAATGTATTGTAACTTAATTCAAAAACAGTTAACTGCCAATTTAACTAGGTGACCAGTTGCAAATGCTGCTCCCTCTTCCCTACCTTCGTGAAAGTCCTTTTTGTAAGCTGAGTTGTTATCACAGCAATAAATCTCTCACAATGTGATTACACTTAAAGTCCAAATTCTCAGAGGAAGTATCCCACTGAGGAGGGAATGGTGCCAGACTCTTCCAACCATAAACACAAACTGGTCCCAAACACAGTGGGTCTATGTCCAAGCCTGACTCATGTATCTCCAGCATTTACTACCCGAGCTTCCTGGATTTGAAAATCTAGATGTTCAAAGTCTCATTTGTATTATCAAATCCCTCCTCATCCTCCTCCCTAACTCTCTAACCTCCTCCAGCTCCTACACCCCTCCCTATCCCTGTAACCTCCTCCAGCACCTACATCTCTCCCTATCTCTGTAACTGCTTCCAGCCCCTACATCCCTCCCTATCTCTGTAACCACTCCAGCTCCTACACCCCTCCCTATCTCTGTAACCTCCTCCAGGCCCTACACCCCTCCCTATCTCTGTACCTCCTCCAGCCCCTACACCCCCTCCCTATCTCTGTAACCTCCTCTAATCTCGGCCTAAAGAGCATCCCTGATTCCTATCGCTCTGCCGTTGGGGGCCATGCCGTCACGTTCCCAGGGTCCTGAGCTCAGGAATTCTCTCCTCAGACCTTTCCATGTTTTCCCTCTGAGTTGTTTAAGACACAGCTTATGACCTGACCTGTCTGAGCTCAGCTGTTGCCCCCTCACTCAAACACCCTCATTTGGCTCCGTGTGAATTTGACAATCTGATTGGTAAAGGTGCTATGTCGGAGGTTTGTGGTGCAGTGGATGTTGATTCTGTCTCTGACCTGTAGGTTTTTGGTTCGAATCCCACTCTGGGATTCAACACTCAAGGAAGGAGCATTTGTAATGTGGCCAAACAGTTTGAGTATCAACTTCCAAACCCTTCTAACATACCCCAATTGCGGACAGCAAGAGATGGTCACCAAAGTTTAGGCCATAAGATAAGAGTCCACGGTTTTGATGTAGTGTATTGGACAGAGAATTGGCTAATTAATGGTCAGGAAATGGCAAATGGGGATAAGGGACAAAAACAGAAGTTGGTAGAGGAACTCGGCAGTCTGGCAGCACCAGTGGAGAGACAGAAACAGAATTAATGTTGCAGGTCCAGCAAACCTTCTTCAGAACAGGTAGTAGCTGGGGCAAGGTTGGTATAAATGCTGGAAGATAGGGTTTGGGGGGAAAGAGAGAAGGAGTCAAAGTTAGATGGAGATGGAGCCCAGAGAGAGAGAGAGAAAGAGAAAGAGAAGGTTAGGCAGACAAAGGGATGGATAAAGATGTGCCAGGGAGAAAGGGAAGCTAATAATGGGTGAAAATGGATTGGCTGTGATGGAAGCAGTCCATCTGATCACAGGGCCTGGGTGTGAGGTTTGAGGTGAGGACATTGGAGAAAGTGTTCAGGCCCTAAAATTATTGGACTCAATTCTGAGTCCTCAAGGCTGCAGGGTCCCCAAGCGGAAAATGAGGTGTTGTTCTTCCAGTTTGCGCTGAGCTTCGCTGGAACACTGCAGCGAGCCTGAGACAGAAATGTTGGCCAGGGAACAAGGCAATGTGTTAACGTGGCAGGCAATTGGAAGCTCGGGGTCATTTTTACAGACTGAACGTAGGTGTCGTGTGAAGGGGCCACCCAGTCTATGTCTTGTTTCCCCAGTGTAGAGGAGATCACATTGTGAGCAGCGAATGCAGTAGGCTAGATTCTGGGAAGTGCAGGTGAAGTGTTGCTTCACCTGGAAGGTATGTTTGGGCCCTTGGATATTGGGGAGGGAGGAGGTAAACAGGTGCTACGGTGATGCCTTCTCTCTCTTTCTTTCACTTACATCGTACATTCAACGGGAAGTCGGTCCGATTTTTCATTCCTTTCACTGATGGCACGTTTGCTTCACAAGTCACAATGTCACCGTTATCCTTTCTGTCCACAGTAAAATTCACTGAGCTGGTAATTGCAAAGATTTTCCCTGTCTGGTGTCGACTGCTCACTCCTGTATGGGACAGACACAGAATGACATCATTAATTAACCTCCAAATACTTTAAATCATCTCCCGTTGACATTCAAATCTACCACCATTGCTGTAAACCCCAATGGGCTACAACAAAATGTCAAAGGCTCGTTGAAGGGACAATGCCCCTAAGGGGGAGAATTCCAGGATTTTGACCCAGTGACACTGAAGGAATGGCGATATATTTCCAAGTCAGGATGGGGAGTGGAGGGGAACTTGCAGGGGGCTGGTGTGCCCATGTACCTGCTGCTCCTTGTCCTTCTAGATGGAAGTGGCCGTGGGTTTGGAAGGTGCTGTCTGAGGATCTTTGGTGAATTTCTGCAGAGCATCTTGTAGATGGTACACACTGCTGCTACTGAGCGTCGGTGGGGGGAGGGAGTGGGATGTTTGTGGATGTGGTGCCAATTGAGCGGGGGCTGCTTTGTCCCTGGATTGTGTTGAGCTTCTTGAGTGTTGTTGGGGCTGCCCCCATCCAGGGGCAAGTGGGGAGTATTCCATCGCACTCCTGACTTGTGCCTTGGAGATGGTGGGACAGACTTTGGGGAGAGTCAGGAGGGGAGTTACTCGCTGCAGGATTCCCAGCTTCTGACCTGCTCTTGTAGCCACTGTGTTTATGTTGTGAGTCCAAGTCAATGCTAACTCCCAGGTTGATAGTGGGGGTTTCAGTGATGGTAATGCCATTGAATGTCAATGGCAGTGGTTAGATTCTCTCTTATTGGAAACAGTCATTGGGTGATACTTGCGTGGGGTAATGTCACTTCCTACCTTTCAGCCCAAGAGGCAGTGATTAGATTGTCTCTTACTGGAGATGGTCACTGCCTGGCATTTGTGTGTTGTGAATGTTCCTTGCCACTTGTCAGCCCAAGCCTGGATATTGTCTGGGTCTGGTTGCACTGGGACATAGACTGCTTCAATATCTGAAGAGGTATCATGCTTAATCGTAAGATTTCCTCCAAAAGTTTGATGCTAACATCTAATAAAAGACATTGACTTCTTTCCCCGAATTCCTGGGGTCTGACCTGGAAGTGTTTGGGGTCCCAGAATGGGTGATATTCCCTTTAGAAGCAGATGGACAGGGAGCGCTCTCAGAGTCTCATTCAGTGTTGAATCTGCTGTTACTGGATTACTGATCTGTGCAGGGACATTAACAGTCTCAGTGCATCTGTGTGGAAGGCTGACAGTCTGTGAATACTCTGGTATAATTCATTTGCCAATGCGTTGGTTCCAACTTGCAGTTAACTAACTGACCAGCACAGCGAGTTGGATCCCAGTCAGTCACGAAAAGGAATTCAGTGGAACATCAACAGACAGAAACTGGACTCCCTTTTCTCTCACTGGCTACTGGCCAGTGCAGTAAGATTGTGTGCAGTTATCCAATCAGCCAGGATACAGGCTATTACATAGAATCAAATAGTGCCGGAGGACATTTAGCCCATTTCACCTGTGACAGATTGGGAACAGAGTGATCCAATTAATCCCCACTCTCTCCTCCCCCAGCTCTCCCAACCTGCTCATTTTCCCCTTCCTACATTTTTCTCAACCCCCTCTCCACTTTGAAAGTTCCTGTTGAGTCTGTTCGCTTTCAGGCAGAGTGTCCCTGATTGCAACAACTCGCTGCATCAGAAACAAATTCTCCTGCTCCGACTCCCACCCCATCTCTGCTTCTTTTCCCAACCTGTGTCCCTCGGTGACTGACCCTCCTGCCCTTGGGAACAGTGTCTCCCCCATCAACTCGATTGAAACCCCCTCAGGGATTCTGAACGCCCTGTTTCAATTTCCCCCTTAACCTTCCCCACTTCGAGGGGAATGATCCCAGCCTCTCCTGGTCTCTCTTCACATGAACTGACTTTCCTCATCTTTGGATTCAATTTTTCTAAATCCCCTCCAAATTTGCAGGCAGTAAATCCTTCACTTGGTATTGCAAAGCCAGATTAATCCTTCAGCAAATAACGAGCCAGGCAGCGAGAGACAGAAGAGTATTTTGCTTGCAATACATCATTGATCAATGGGGCTGCCAGAATATTAAAGAAATTGTTTCATTATAACTGGACACGTTTGCAGAGGTAGTTTAACAGTTTAATGTCATATTCAATTATCATTAAAAAAAAACACGGGGTTAGCTACCGAGTAAAGTTCCCTCCACACTGTCTCCATCAAACACTCCCAGCATAGGGACATCACGGGGATAGATACAGAGTAAAGCTCTCTCTACATTGTCTCCATCAAACACTCCCCGGGCAGAGACAGCATGGGGTTAGATTAGGACTAAAGCTCCATCTACATTGTCCCTCATCAACCAATCCCAGGATAGGGACAGCACAGGGTTAGATACAGAGTAAAACTTCCTCTACACTGTCCCTATCAAACATTCCCATGACAGGGATAGCATAAGGTTAGATACAGAGTAAAGCTTTCTCTACACTGTCCTCATCAAATGCTCCCGGGACAGGGACAGCATGGGGTTAGTGACTGAGTAAAGGAGTGGCAAATACAGTTTAATTTGGATAAATGCAAGGTACTGCATTTTGGTAAAACAAACAAGGGCAGAACCTATACAATTTAAAGTCAGGCCTTGGGTCGTGTTGCAGAACAGACAGACCTAGGGGTTCAGGTACATAATTCTTTGATGTTTGTGTCACATATAGACAGGATGGGTAAGAAAGTATTTAGCACGTTTGTCTTCATTGCTCAGACCTTTGAGTGTAGGAGCTGGGAAGTCATGTTGAGGTTGTACAGGATATTGGTCAGGCCTCTTCTGGAATATTGTGTGCAGTTCTGGTCGCCCAGTTATAGGAAGGATAATATTAAACTGGAGAGGCTTCAGAAGAGATAGTAGGAACTGCAGATGCTGGAGAATCTGAGATAACAAGGTGTAGAGCTGGATGAACACAGCAGGCCAAGCAGCATCAGAGG